TTTCAAATTTCTTAAGCACGCAGGTGTACCAATAGCAATAAATCAACTTTATTTTTTCAATAGGTAAACACTAATTACAAATAATGGATTCTGGTAAAGCTTTTTTTTTCTGAAAATGTTCGTAGTCAAATCATCAATTTTGGTTCGCTAGCTTATTAACTATGGTCATCTAAAGATTAGTAAAATATGCATTAATACTTTTAATTGAAATAATTTGCATAGGTTTAATTTACAAGAGCTAAATATTTTTTTCTTATAACTACCTTTTGATACACTTATAGAGTTGAATCAGTAATCTAATGACACGCTCAAAAAAAAAAAAAAATAACAAACATAGTTCATTATTTTTATTTTAACATAACATCATAAAAATCAGTATTATTATTATTATTATAAATTATATTAATATATTTTATTATTATACTTTACATTTTTTTCATCGCAGTTACTTTTCTTACAATATCATAAATTTGGATTCTTTATTAGGTGGCCAAGGTAGTAATGGTAAATTGGTTCAAACCTATATGGTTTAAATTTCAAGTTTTTACCACTACAAAAAGAGCACCACAAAACATTGCACTTTTTTCATTAGGTACACAATTTTTTTTAACCCCCATACATAGGTACCTACCTAAGACATATCAAAATGTCAACAATCAATACCATTTATCAATTTACCATTATTACCTAAACCACCTAATAAAGAATTCAAATTTATGATATTGCAAGAAAAGTAACAGTGATGCAAAAAATGCAAAATAATCAATTACGATTAAAATAATAAATTAAAATAATAATACTGATTTTTATGATCTAATGTCAATTCTTATGTTAAAATAAAAATACCTAATAAACTATGTTTGCCAACAATTTTGTTTATGTTATTTTTTTTTTTTTTTTGGTTGAGCGTGTCATTAGATTACTGATTCAACTATATAGGTGTATCAAAAGGATATAAGAAATTATAAGAAAAAAATATTTAGCTAATGTAAATTAAACCTACACCAATTATTTCAATTAAAAGTATTTATGCATATTTTACTAATCTTTAGAGGACCTTTTGATAATTAATAAGCTAGCGAACCAAAATTGATGATTTGACTATCAACATTTTTAGAAAAAAAAAGCTTTACCAGAATCCATTACAAAATGTAGTGTTTACCTTTTGAAAAAATAAAGTTGATTTTGCTATTGGTACACCTGAGTGTTTAAAAATGTTGAAATTGTTAAAAAAAATTGCCTGTTAAAAATAAAGAAACACGTCTTTTTTCGTTCTAATGAAATTTCATATCATCGTTCCATAATCGTTAAAAAAAACCCGCGTACAATGACATAAGATACACCCTGTATAATTATATATACGGCCACAGTGAAGAGCGCACGCGCGATACCTACTCGGTTGACTATATAGAGTGTGCCGACAAACGAACGAGTACAAACATATAAACTTGATAGACAATCGCGTGAATCTAACATGATGACTCGGCTGTTTCGGGGGGCGGTCACAATGTCTTTAAACACGGAGGAACGGTCAAGTGCGTGCGAAAAATCTCCGTCAATGTCACGTGTCTCGACGGCCGATGATAGTTTTCCGTCGTAAACCTTGCAGTATATAATATGTATATTATATGGGTACGACTTCGGATTTCGCACGTAAATGTTATCAGCGCGTATTATGTGCTTATAATAATCATATGATTTGTTTGAGGTTTTGGTGTCCCTGGATTCGGGACAAAAATAATATCTCCCTATCTAATATATCTGCCTATCTGCATCGCAGAATTAATTAAAAATATAAATAAAAACTCCTGTGTCTATCCGTGTTACCTACCATAAATCGTTTATGAAATATCGTTAATGTGATCCAATTTATAATATGCCACCAACATTATCATTCAAAAAACGTCTTATTTCAAATTAAATATGTTGAATCCTCCTATGTTGGCTTAGTAAAAAAACAAACTCTAATAAAACCTCAAATTGTTCATAACATTATTAATAATAAGTAATAATATTTTCACAAACATTGAATTATTTACTCTATTTTGTTTTCAAATTTTAATTTTATAGTGTTTTAAAGTTTTATAATTTTTTTCTGAGGATCATTGGCAATTTGTTTTTTTTTTAAATGTTGTTTGCCCCTCTTGGAAAATCGGGTCTTACTTTTAGCTGCACATGGGAGGTTTTTTCGTGTCACCGATATTACGTCATTATTTATAATAATACATAACATTACATTATATTCACAACTATACATCATCGTCGTCTTGGAGTTATTCTTTGGCAATGATGCTTATAAATCTATCAAAAGAGCTTTTATGTTTTATCCTCTTATAAGTTATAACCTACCTAACATATGTATACACATATTGTGTAGGTACTCTCTGATCGGTCTAATTGCTGCGTCTCCGGCAAGAGCAGGGGTCAGGGGCAACCATCATAGGTATACGTGCAGAGCAATATGTAACTAAATATATACCTATATACCTACATAAAATAACTAGAATAATACCGTTTCGTTTGTTTCATATCCGATCGCCTTATCTCGTTGACTCGATCTCGAACTCTACACAAAGTATTATTATATATTATAGCTATTACGACAATAACGGTCGCTCTGTTTCGGACACTACAGCGGCGAGTCCACATGCATTTATACGATATAATATACAGTATACACGTCCCTATAGCTCTCTCCTATTACAAAAACTCGAGGTATTATGAGGTATTATAATACAGGTACCTACCTATATCTTGTCGTGGATGCCACGCCTGCAAACAATAAAACGTCCAGATCATCGGCTTTATCAGCCTATAAAAATCAATATGAGAATAATAATACGATGATCATACGAGACCTCTATTCCGAAATACTAAATACTTAATAAGTATTTTATGTTCCATGCTGATGAAGTTTTGTATTTTAATCCAAGAATAACATAATAATTGTAATTCGTCGTCGTAAAACGTTGTCCGAAATATAAATAACTATTATCGTAGTTAGGCCAACGGCGGAATGGCTCTAATGTGTTAAACAGCTGTGCGACTTAAAATACAATTAATAATACTATATATATATTATGACATAATATTATAAAAAACGGAATACCTATTGTAGGGGTATTTAAAATTATATAATGTATACGAAACCGAGTGAGTAGGACATATTGAGGCTTTCTAGGTTTCTGGAAAAAAATAACAAAACCGGAATGATCGTTCGGTAGATATTACATATAAGTATACAATAAGAAACCGTATACAGGAAGTTGTATTTAGATAATATAATAGAGGAGGTAAAAACGTTTTTTTTTTTTTTTTGTGCATAAGAGATGTTTTTACGGTGTCTATATAATATTATGGACAGTGGCCAAATTCTTTTTTGAGAAATGGCCAAAACATAATATAGTTTATTTTGCCTCCTGTTGTAGCGGTATGTGCTGTATTGTTAAATTTGTTACGGTGGTTTATATCGCCTTTTTTTTCTTACATAAACATAATGTATAGGTACTTTCGGCGACAATGACGTTTATAAGGTTAAGTGCGTATTATGTAAACGGGATACGTGATCTATAAAATTCAAACCTCTCAGACCACAATATTCAATTGTATTACGACATGTCAACAGGACATTGCGAATACCCTGACACATGAGCAGGTAGGTCCTGGGGACGCATCAATGACGAAATACTACCGCTAAAAAACTGCACACCATGAATGAACATGACGTATCAATGGACGTACGTCGTATATACGCACATAAACGGATCACACGCACTGCGTGATACACTCAGGACGTATTATTAAGTGAGAAAAAAAAACGTCTGACCTTTTGCAACACATATAGTTCACACTATAAATATATATTAGACATATTGTTATAATATACTAGCAGGGAGCAAGGTAGTGTAGGTATTATATTGATATATATATATATAAATATAGGTATATTACGGTCGATGCTGTAACTTTGAAATATATAGCCATATAGGTAGGTATATTATATAACATAAACGAGAATCCATCATATGTTATTATTGGTAGGTACCTATACCTTAAATAGGTATATTGACGGAATGATATTATTTTATGTGTGTATCCCATGTACCTATATTATGGGCACTTATATTGTTATATTTATATATCGACTAAATGGTTTGCGATGCACACGTAATATGCAATAAGCACAGGTATATAAGTATATGAAATGTAAGTCTTTATTATAAAATATATAGTGAACGTATTGACGTATAGTAGACGCCACAGAGTACCTATTTTCAAAAAATGTTACAAATTCAATTCCCACTTACCCACCCACCACGAAAATAATTACCTATATATTTTGTTTATTGAATACCTAAATAATATTTATATAAAATGTGGTAGCTACCACTACACCATAATACATGGGATGTGCGCCATTGGTAGTAGACGTTTAATAACTGAATCGAAATCGACAAGTTCCTAAATTGCACTGCCTTTAAACTCGAAGGATTGGATGTTAGGTTATGGTTGACACTATATATTATATAAAATCAATACGAAAATACGAAATACATAACGACGGCGGTGCTGACGGTATATATCTATATAAATATACGAATAAATATATTTTAAGATCAAAAACGTATGACTACGATAGATAAGACCCATCTATAATACATTGTATATCGTTTATCATTATATTCCTATATGATTATTGTGTGTGTATTGGTATAAACGGTGCAGTAGTAAATGGAACTTGAAATAGTTAGTGAACGGTAAGTATAACGTAATCTGCAGTACGACATAAACTGCAATGTACTTATACATAATAATAAATGTACCTATACATGGACACGTTGATAAATCCATATTAGAATTGGACACAAGTAGATATCGATCAATTTGGGACAAGTCTTATATATGCTAAACATAGGCAATGCATACTTTGTTGTATAATATTTATATAGTCATATAAATATATACAAGTAACTATATATATATAGGTAATCTGGACTTACGCATTCCAGCCACGTGGTTCTTTTTCATCCACGGGTAGATGACCCGGTCCGATGACTCGCTGTCGTCCATCATGATCGGCGACCCGTTGACCGTGGTCATCATCATCTCGTCTGTGTCCGTGTTGCAGTCGTCCATGTCGTCGGAGCATGATCCGTCCAGCGGGTTGTTGGACATGTGGTTGGACGACGACGGGCTGGGTTGCAGGTGGCACGGCAGCGGCGATGGCGACGAGTCGTCCTTGATATCGTGCGACATGACAGCGTTGAGGGCCACCGCCTGCAGGCCGCCGCCGGCCCCGGACGGTATTATACTGCCACCCTGGCACTGTTGCCCCCCGGCGTTGTGCATCAGGGAGGCTGGGGGCTGTTGGGCCTCGAGCGGCATTTGGCCACCGTGGTGCATTTGGTACGCACCGTAATTGGTTGCCGCACTGGTGTAATACGACGGCGTCTGGCCAGGGCTCGGGTACATGGCCTGGATCTGTTGCTGATAGTGTCCCTGATAGTGTCCACCCCCGCCACCGCCACCACTGCTCACCCCGAGGCCACCCGAGCTTCCGACACCGACGACGCCGCTGGCCTGCACTTGCTGCTGGTGGCCAGCACTGCCACCTCCGCCACCGCCACCACTACCGCCGACGTGTTGAGTCTGTTGGCTCAGGTGATTGGAGTGATGGGAGGGGTGGTGGTGCTGATGTTGGTGGTGGTGATGTTGGTGGTGAGGGCTGCCGAAAAAGTCCGGCGAACCCATGTAGTTCTGCATGTTGCTGTAGTCATCCGGCGGTGAGTACTTGGGTTCCACCATCATCATCTGGTGCATCTGCGTCGGTTGATGGTACGGCAGCGTGTTGTGAGTGAGAAACGAATTCATTGTTGGCGCATCCAATACGACATGCACTATATATTATATGGGTACTATATTACTGCGCGTGCACGGATTGCGGCGGATAGTTTAAAGCGTATATCTACGAAGTTATAGTACATACGACACTACTATAATAATATATACACGACGACGGTGATCGAAAAACTGAGGACGTCCGACGAACGTCGAGCTCCCAAAAAATAAAAAACAGCGAGACGAGCGATATTATAACGATTGCGAAATACGACGCGAGGAAGACGAACGGGACACGTTGAAGACGAGTATTCGCACTCTCGCGCGGTCCGACAAGTCTTATAATATTATTTATCCAATAGAATCCCGACGGAGATCCGGTCAACAACACTCGAAACTAAACGAACGACGAATGACGAGACAATTTTTTTATTCCCTGCGATCATATGGTACTATATACGACCTACGGGCGGCGCACACACACAAAAACACACTCGGAACACCGTTTTGGGCATACTGATGCGCGGCGGCGGCGGTGACGACGGCCGTCGGGGCCGGTGCGCTCGGCAGTCGCCGCCGTCAACGGGTGGAGGGGAAAACGACGCCGGAAGGCACGCCCCGCACGTGACCATCTGTCGACCAATCGCAGGGCGCCGCCATATCGCCTACCATGTTTGCCGAGGCCGCCAACGACGTCGCGCGCGCCGCCGTCCACCGCGCGACGATCGGGCCGATTTTTCTCGGCTTCAATGAATAAAGATGCATAATAATAATAGGTATGATACAAACACAGTGGCACAGTGCAGTAATAATAACATTAAAAAGCTGTATACGAATTTTATGTTAATTATATTATATGCGTTATAGGTATACAGCCATACAGGACAATAAAAAGTGTTTGGCTGTAAGTCCCTAACATCTTGATGACATTTCGTTGCCGAATTAAACATTATATGTAACTATATATTAGGTAGGTACACATTAGTTAGATATCTATATTATATGTGACTGTGTATGTATTAGGTAGGTATATAAATATTTAAATATAACACAGTTTTATATCGAGCCAGCTTTCGAATATCGGAATATTGCACTGCGAGGATTTTTGTGGACCCCAGAGACTTGGGAAAACGCTGAGTTTATAAGTCATATTCTTTATATTATAGTATATTTATTTGTAGAAAACAAAAACAGAATATATGCAGGGTATTCTACTATATACCGCATAGATATAGTATATATTATATAGTATAAGATATGCCAATACACTCATGAATAAGTAGACCTATACCTACGGTATAAATAAATCATAAAATTAAAATGTACCTATATTATAATATATTATGCTTAAAAAAATGTTTCATTAACTGACGATTATTATAAACTTAGTATAAAATTCTAAATAGATTCAATATATTGGATTGGACAAACAATGAACGGAGACCATACAATTTGTAGATAGTCATAAAGCTACCTATATAATAGATATATATAGGTAATCAAGCACTGCGATAGAAAGCACAATATTATATAATATATAACAATATTTGATGGTTGACTACAGGTGCAGGTTACTAAAATGTTGGCACCTTTGATAAATAAAACCTAACATTATTGACTATAAAATACCTATACGGATACACCCATATATAAATTATGCTTATTATTTTGCTGCATATACGCCGTGAGTCCGTGAAAATATAAGGTATACAAAAAAAATTAAGTTGTTATGCGCTTGCACAAAATATAAGAGTTAAACAATTTTAAGTTATATGAATTTATGATCCATCGCACTATATATATATATACAAACGTAATATTCATATAATATAATATTTACTAAGTCTGCATATACGCTGCAATGGCGACTAATATATTGGTAGTATAGGATTGCATTTTTTAATAATAGGTACTTACGTATATTACAAAAAGTCTTTTTCGTCAATATTTTTTGTTAGGATATCCTTCCGTGTAAGACATTATTGCCTTTATTATTATATGATGTTCATTATATGAGCTGGAGTAAAATAAGAAATAAATAGCGAAGCATTAATTATTTTGAAGAGATAGTTTGAAATGTTTGAATTTCGTTGGGATTAGATTTTTTAGTTATGCGCCCCATTATTGATTGCAGACCATTAATATGTTTGGAGGATATTTTTATTTACGTTTTTAATTTTTTAAATTATTATTGTTAATGAGGGCCTTGTTAAATTTGGGTGGGTAGGCTTTTGATAATTATGCGTTTATTCGCAATATTATTTTAAATTCTAAATAATATAATCTAATTTAGTTGCATAATAAAAAAAATAAAGTTTCATGTAATATAATATATATATGTATATTAAAATGTACAGTCGCACAATGTATTATACCTACCTTAATATATAGATACTATATATTATATAATATATAATATGAGCTTCGTTAGGTATTATATTATTATGTAATATTATTTGGATATTCCCACAGTTATTTTTGGGCAGAAGAAAGCGAGTATCTGAATATATCTGTATTTAAAATAAAATATTTATATTAATATAGGTAGGTATATATACCGTCCCTATAGTCAAATATGTGTATATTATAATATAGTAGTAATGTGAAGACTTATTTTGAATTTTACAATACATTTTACATTTGTTATTTATTGTTTTATATAGGTAGGTCTTAGGTTTACTTAAATATATAATAGAGGTATTAAAGAACCGAGAGGGTGGGCAAGACCCCTTCGACCTTCCCATGCTACTCCTTTCGCTCATACTTCAATCTACTAATCATGTATGTCTAGAAATTCACTAAACTAGACCGGTTTAAATTTATCCCACATTATCCCGCACCGGGATAATGAACCATGTAAATGATATGGTCCAAACATACCGGTGCAGCATTATTTTTCACACCGGTTTAATCTAGCCAATTTGTAGTGTATGTGTGTACTGTGTATATTATCTTTACATAATATTATAATATATAGGTAGGAAGATGAGCTCATATATAAATATATTTACACCACATTTAAGTGGTGTCATAATAAATGGAAATATATAATATAATGTGTGTGCAATATCTCTCACGTTGGAAATGGTGTGCGGCGCATATCGCGCAGAGGATCGGACCGCGCGCGCGACCAATGATAGACGTGTCGCACGAGCGCTATAACGTTCCCCGCGAGAGTGATTGATTGCACGCCCATCGGAAAACGGTGGCAGTGGCGGCGGCGGCGGCGACAGGAAAAAGGGAATATGTATATAATAATATGCGAAACGCGACGCACTCAAAAAGGGTGAGAATATAATAATCATGACGATGATAATATAACAGCGGTGGAAATATATACTATAATGTGTATATGTATGGATATACAAATGCTCGAATCCACTCTACTCTCTCCCTCACACACACACATATACACACTCCGTGTAAACTCACACAAAAATAAACATATTTGCAGTATGCGGGGGAGAGAACGATGCGATGTGAGTGAGTGTGCGACAAAAGTTGCGATCGAGCTCTGGCAGTCGATGCGCCAGTCGAGTTCATTACCGTAATGAACGGTTGCGGCCGGCGAGCTACAAAAACGGTGCGTTGATGGTTTGTTGGTCGAAAGGGTTTTTCGAGGTGGTCCCTCGAGAATTATCATATACCTATACTAACACAATATTATATATATATATATATCCGAGCTGCAGTGACCTATATATATATAAAGCCCCTCACATATATCATCTTATGAGCATGTATATGTGTATAGGTATATAAAATACTATACATATACCTATATAAATATATAGGAATAGGTTATATTATGTATACGCTCGCGGTAATTTATAATATATAAAAGTTACTTTTTATGTACATGCCCCTTATATTATGTACACATAAACACTCTTATTTAGGTAGGTACCTATATACATATATTATCTTATACGTAGGTGATGCTACAGGTGCGTCTTTTGGCTGCGAAAACGGCAATCCCGTTAATTGCTCGACGGTCTATATACGCGCGCAGTATGTGTAATAATAAATGCTCTTAACACGCTGCTCGTCATCGTTTAAAAGTATACTAAAATATATAACTGCAACGCACAATTATCTGCCACCGCCCATGTTTTAATGTAGGTATACCTACACATACGCGTGTCCTCACGAACTCCACCACACTCGTTTCCCAATACTGCGTAAATAAAACAGTATATATAAGTATCTACTATTATATACCTCTGTAAAATAATTTTCAGCCACAAACACCGCTGCAGTACCTACCCACCTCATAATTTTAAGCTCGACCGATAGTCACCGAGATCTTTAAAAATATGCTGTGCAGGCAATAATTAAAAATACTAAAATATATATTATAATATAATATTAATATTAATATATAAGAACTATATATTATAATTAATAAATTATTTGTTTGCTACAAGCTGCAGCTATATAGTAGAATAGACTTGTTGTATATAAGTATTAATTTTTAAAGAAAAACTAAATATTGTCAGATTGACCATATTACATATATATTATATATCTACTATATACCATATAGTACCTATCCTCTCTTCACTAAATAAATATATATCATATATTATATATTCTTCCTTGTCCGTCATCTATAGGTTATTCGTTATTTTTTTATCTGTGATTGCCATTATATAGGATCAAATAATTCCTCTTAATATACATAGCAAACGTAAGTATATTATAGGTTATTATTAGGACAGAGGACTTATGCAGACATTTACATATTTATTTTACAGCATGGGCTGCTCAGAAGTAGCTGAAATAGTTAGAAACTTAGATACAAATAACGCGCATGTAATGACAAAGTAGATTTTTAGGTTGTATCACCAAACAAAACGGAAAGAGCGAATAGAGATTCAAAAAGTTTTGCTGGTATTTTATATCTAAACTTAATGCAATCTATACCTAATAAGTAATACGTATAATACCTAAATTTAAGTAATTTATATAAAAATGACAATTATTCACATAGCTATGATAAATATAATATAATCGATAACCTTTTTTATTAT